AAATAATCTTAATTGTATTTTATTGCTTTTTTAAGTGATTTGTCTATATATTGATAGTCAAAAATTAAGATTCACAAGTTACAACTGACTCTAATAAATTTTTAGTTGACATTAATAATTCTAAGTATATTTTGTTGATTTGTCAACTAATTATTTACATTTTTTTTTAATTACAAATAAGAACCATAATCTATAATTAAGATTTAAGTAATTCAAGATTTATAATTATAATTAATATTCTTACAAGGTTCCTAATTGTCATTTTCCTAACATTGAGATCAAATACTATTTCATATATATATATATATATATTATAGTAATTAGAAAATATACTAATAATATTTTATTACTATCTTTTCATTTGAAACCAAAAATATTGTTAGTATATTTTAAAATTATAATGAAAAATTTTAGTGATAAAATATCTTAATTTTTAAATGAAATACATTTTTTACTCATTAGATTTAGATTCTTCAAATAATTTCATAATTTATAGTTTTTAATTCTTACTCCCTCCATTTAAAAATATAAGACATTTTTTAAGAAATTGAATGTTTAAAAATGTAAAATATTTTTAATCTTTTGAAGTATAATTATTATTTTTTTTTCTAAAAGTGTCTATATTAATGATGATTTTATATTTATCATAGAATGTTTAATAAGAATAAATATATAAAGATAAAGTTAATTAAAAAAATAAATAATTATTTTATTTAAAATAAAATTTAATTAAAAATATTTTATATTTTTTAAGTGGGTGAGTATTTGTTGGTTATAAAAAACCAATGAAACCGATTTTATTGACCCACAAAACGAGGGCCAGCTAGAATGGGCAGGACTTACAAGTGTCATGTTTCCATATTCCTGTCAGTGGTCTGCGATCAAACCGTCAATTCATCGCTTTGACAAATACGGCACGAGTAATTGATTTTGTTTCCCCCAGATTTTTTATATATGGAAGATACTATAGTCTAAAAATTTTAAAAAATTAAAAAAAAGGTCCCTTCAAAAACCTTCAATAAAATTAGAACGATACAAAAGAGATTAACATGATCATTACGTAAGGATGGCGCGCATATATTTTATCAATTCTTTTGCGTTATTTCATCTTATTTTTTTTATAAGATATTTCTAACATTGTCATGAAAGAAAAACTTAAAACTTACTCCTTCCGGTCTCATTTATAAGTTCAATTTTAGAAGATGTATTTGGTCCCATTTATAAGTCACGGTGCGTCTTTTTAGGTAATATTTGAGAGGTATTTCTAAAATTACCTTCTATGAAAGAGAAAAAGTAACAGGACATTACTTTTTAAATTTATTATATATGGGCATGTTTGGAATTTTACTTACTTTTATTCCTTGTACTTTTATTGTATTGATATTGATAAGGTTGGTAGAAATGACTTATAAATAGGACCGGAGGGAGTATTAGTTATATTTAGAAATTAAATAAGTTTCTATTTTTCCCTCATTTAAACCCATATGGTGTGATTTTGGAGGAACGAATTGACCAACATTATTAATATGAAGAAAGACAATATATATAAGAAAGATGTAATAAATATGCTATATATGGTAGACGTCCTATAAAAAGGATTAAAAAATTTCTCTTTTATCGTATCCCATAGGATCATCCGAGTGAAAGAGAAATGCACATGGCTTTCTATATATCCCAACAAACTTGAACAAAAAAGTTTTTTTTTTTTCCTGGGGGTTTTTCTGAGTTATGGTGCTCTCTAATTTATTGTTTGTATTTTTAAGTATCTATTCATGTAGAGGAAGAGAAAAGCAAATATCCAAAAAGTAAAATAGCATCATGTAAGCATAATAAAAAGTATGAAAATTTTCGTTAAATAAACGGAGGGAGTGCTAGCTACTCTTCCATTTTGAAAGGTTGAATATTTAAAAATTAAAATATTTTTTTATATTTTAAGGTATAATTATTATGTTTATTTTTTTAAAAGTGTTTTTAATGAATAAATTATTTTATATTTATTTTAGAGCAAAACACCTTATTAAATAAGGATAAGTATGAAAATATGATGTTAGTTTAAAGACAAGTAAATATTTTATTAAGAGGTAAAATTTAATTAAAAATGTCTTATATTTTTTAAAAAAAAATTAATTAAGTGGACACAAAGTGCATGCATGGTAGGGTTTGCTGAGGAAAGGATAAGCTACATAGCTAGTAAGATATCAATTTGATCAAGGCACGTTATAAAACTAAACCCATATATATCCATGTATACACTGTTCATAATAATGTAGAGAAATTAATGCAATGAAATAAAACTCTCTCTCTCTCTCTCTCTCTCTCTATATATATATATATATATATATATGTATACGTCGCACATCATTTCGTTAGTGGGTCTCGTCATAATCCTTCATATAAGTGCTGAAAGCCACCTCACGAGTATCCCAAGTTCAAACTTGTTCAAACTCAATTCATATCATTTTGTCGTCTTTATTGTTCGTTTTCTTCTGATTACCTCCTAGCTAATTTTAGTCCAATACGTCGTCAACACGATGCATTTATATTTCCTCCATATATCTTCAAGGCTCGAAGTATTCGATTCATTTGCTTTTGTTTTCGTCATATATGCCCACTTATTTTTAGGAATATAATTAATACGTTAGACACCAATTATAATTGCAATTGCGTTGATTCTAGTCCTGTTTATAAGGTAGAAAGGAAGTTTTTTCTAACTATTTATAAGACAAATTATCAACTTTTTATCACAAATGTTTTCTTTTATCCAATTAAATATTGGTAAAAGAAGATATATTATTCAAATATAGTACTCCCTCCATTTAAAAATATAATTTTTTTAGAAGTTAGATGCTAAAAAATATGAGGCATTTTTAATTTTTTGAAGTGTAATTATTATTTTTTTTAAAAAATATTTTTATTGATAATGATTTTATATTTATTGTAAGGTATTTAATAGGGATAAATATGAAAAGATAGGGTTAGTTTAAAAATAAATAACTATTTTATTAAAAGGTGAGATTCGGTTAAAATACCTTATATTTTTAAACAAATAGAGTATATTTTAATTGAGACAAATTTGTAATATTGTCAAATTTTTAGAAAGAGCTAATGAGTTTAAAGTATTCATTAGTTTCAATGAGACATATCAAAAGTAATCTATAAATTAGATCACAGGGAGGAAGTATAGGAATATTCTATTAGAAAAATATAAAATATTTTTAACCAGATTATACCCTCAATATTGATTTAGTTAATTGTATTTAAATTATTATAATCTTTTTATGCCTGCTTTTATATCATATCTCATGGTAAAGAGTTGTATGTTTTATTCAATAAGGATTTTTTTTTAAAAAACTTATTAAGTATACATTAAAAAATAAAAATATCTTATATTTTTGAATGGAATGAGCACTTAAAAATTTACAAAGATGAACCATGTGAATTAATTAACTATTATTGGTTAATCTATTCTCATAAAAACACGCTATAGTTTTATTGTTATTGATAATTAATGATGATTTGGGTTTATTTTTTTTTTTCCGGCCAAAAGAAAAATGCTATATCAATAAAAATACTAAAGCTCTAGAGGAAAGGGTTTAATTAAGATCACTAATTGCTACTATATCATTACTATCCGATTTTTTTTGTGTAATATAGACATGTATAATACGTACATGGCTTTTTTGGAAGAAGACTTGACACGTGTTAGCGACTTAGCGTGACCCTCTAATAATGTTGGAACTTAGAACCAAGTTTTTCCTTGTAAAATATTATATTTAGCAATTCTATAATATTATGATTATCAATTACATTATTAATCAATGCCAATAAACAACTATAAATTTTATTAAACAATATTTATTTTTCTCCACTTGTAATAAATTATTTCAATTTTAGGCACAACAAAGTTAATTATTAATATAACTTCTAAATCTCTCCATCTATGTATATCAATGACTACTTTTCAATTAAACTTATGTTCATATTAATTATATGCTTTTCTTTTGGTGTCAATAATCAATAATAGATTATAAATTTGATAAATAAATAAAAATAGGCTCATCCAATGATTGAGAACTCGATATTTTAATTTGATATGTTCAGATTCAAATTCAAAATATAGAGCAAAAGGGCAATCATTTTTATGATTACCCCTCATCAAGGAAACATGATTTTTGGGAGACAAAAAAAAAAGAAAAAGAAATAAAATTAAAGTGTTGCTTATGATTTCACAATTCACGACATCTCAACAATCTCATATGAATAGGTTCAATGAATGTGTGCTTGTTACGCAAATCTTCATGAATATCTCATGTTCTTATTTTTCTCCACCAGCAAAATATTCACACACACTTATGCCACAAAAAAAAAAAAAAAAAACACACACACACACACACACTCACTTTTCACATTCCAGCTACACTACATACAAGTTTGTACGATCTTCTGTGGATCAGCCCTAGGATTCACGAACAACTATTTTGGCTTCAACTCATAGAATTACAATTTCTGCAGATTTAATATAAATAATATATCTTGCTAACACCCACTTGCAATAGTTTTTTTTTAATTAATTCGAGGCTTATTATTTTTTTTTCAAAGCTCACTACAAGGCAATGTAGTCATAAAGCACTCAGGGGCGTGGCGAAATAATATTCTTGGCAAAGTACGACATTATTGAAATTGAATTGATTATTAAATTGATTAAAGTATTAATTTAAAAGTTAAATGTTAAAATCATAATTAAATTATGATAAAAAGATTATGTATAAAATATTTTATTAAAATAATTAAGATATTAATTTAACAGTTTACTAGTTTAATCAGATAAAAATTAAAGTAAAAGAAGATAAAGAAAATAAATCATATTTAATGGAGGTTCAAAAAAAAAATAAAAAAAAAGGGTGGAGATAGGAGTTGAACTGGGCGCCATTTAAACGCAATTGCTACTATCATATTAATGTAAAGCGACACAAGGCTAAGACCATTTCTAGCAGATGTGTTGGAGGCTAGTGTTGTATATAAGGACAAAGCAATATCTTAATGTTCTCTAATAATTAAATATAATTCCATTTTTGTTTCTACGGAAGACTCTTGTGTTGTGCCTTCCTCTATCTCCCTGTTCGTGCGAAGGAATGCATTAGAATCACATTTTTGAACTTTGCCTTTTCAATCTTCAGCAACAGGGCGACTGTGCTTCTGGGTTGCTCTCAAATTCTCATCTTTCTTTGATTTTGAACCGAATTTGTGTGGAGTTTTGTGCTTTCCAATTGACTCACTTGACCTTGCTGAATTCTTACCACTGTGCTGTTGAAGTTGATGGTAAGACTCATAAGAATGAATTTCTTCGCTTGGGTTTTTAACCCGTTTTCTTTTTCTGTTTGGGAAGTGAGAAATTAGAGGCTGAGAAGAGAAACGGGACAGAATGATTTAAGTGTAGAAAGTTCTTTGAAAGTCATGTTTATTTGAGGGTCCGTTTTTGGATTACGCTATAAAATTAGCTCAACCCAGTTCAAGCTATGTAATAGTACGAGTTCTGGGGAAAGGGGATTTTCTTTTCTATTTGTGGCTTTTAATCCCAGTTTTGAAAATTCAAAGTATTATATATATTTTCTTTTCACTTTAATGGAGCTTTTTCTCTTTTCTTAGAGTTGGTTTGCTTTGCTGCTCCATTCCTGTTTCCGATTTATTGTGCGTTTATTAATTGGAGTGGTTTAACGCTGTAAAGTTACGGATCGCTTCATCTATGAACGTGAGAAAAATATATAAAAGAATGCAAATATTTCTTAGCGTTTCTGCAATTGTTGCTTGTTGACATCTATTTGGCGATCCTTTACTCACAATTCTTGGTCTATGCTGAGGCTTCTTTCTTCTTGAAATTTATGATCTAATAACTTTAACTTGAAGCTACTTTGCCTTGAGGATGTTCTCGTTCTGGGTTACGTTGAAATCTGGTTTCTCGCCATTGATAGTGGGGTTTTTGTTTCCAAGTGTAATGGGGTGCACGGGGAATTCTTTCACGAGCCTTTTGATTTTCTGAGCTTGATGGAAACTTTTTAGACCTTTTCTCTTGCAATCACAATAAAGCTCTGACACAGACAACACCTGTCATGTCTCACGCCTTTCTTGTGATATAGTTGCTTTTAGATATATTTCCTTCTCAAGCTCAAGTCTCTACTTGTGATTTTTTTGCGCAGAGCTTACTAGAACTTTGACCAGATCAGTCGGCCATCAGGGCAAGACAAGGTTAGCTTGATTATTCTTTGGTGCTTAATGCTTATCTCCAATCAAGGGTTAGTCTTATGAAACTTTTCCACTTACAGAAAAAGTGGACGAAGAAGAAAGAATTATTAATTCAAATTGCTGATTAAAATATGCGTGTCTATTATAATAGTATGGAGAGTTCTAGTACCAATTATCTGTAATGCTGCTTGTGAGTAAACTACTACCACATCTTTTCTGGTTGACATTAAGTTTGTTTATGGCTTTCTTATTGTTGACCACTCAGCTTTCTTGCAACAATTCCCTACACTCTTTGAACTTTAATAAGATTAAGCATCATCTTTGTCACTGGAATATATTCATAAGAGCGTTTTCCCCTGTACTTTGCTCACAAGGTTGTGCTTTTAGATTCTGGAAACTAACCCATAAAAGTATTCATTGCTTACACTGGAACAGAAGATTATTGGTGGTCATTCAGTTTATTTCAATTGTAGCTTCAGGTATAGTGAGCATTCAGACATGGGTTGCCTTGTGTCGACTCCAAAGGATTCTGGTGGAAATAGAAGAAGGCCTGGGAGTATTGGGGAGGTTTCAGTTTATGTTCCTGGTCTAAGAATTCCTAAACCTGTTGATTTTGCCCAGTCACTTGGTGATTATTTGTCCAAGAATATAGTTGAGCGTCTATCAGCCCTTAGAACTCGTATAGTTGTAATGGCTGGTCAAGAAGGTCCTACAATTACGAGGACAAAAAGAAAAAGTGCCACCCAACATGGTTAGTTTTAGCAAAAGAAATGAAATCATTCCATGATAAATACGTTGCTCAAATTTATTGACGCATCACTAGATTTTATCTTCAGGAGGTTCAACGTTGTCGGACCTTCAGCGGGCTCTTGAGGACTATCTGCCTGTTCTTTTGGGGTTGGTTAAAGATGGTAAAACTTAAGTTAGTCCTTTTGTATTCGATGTATGCTCTTTCTTAGACAAGTCCTTATCATTATTGCTGATGTTTATTCGCAGGAAATCACCTACAATATAGAGTACAATATGTTTGGATTAATCAGGAGGATGAATCAGAGGTAACTCTCAACAAATAGATAAATGAACGAAGTATATAGTTTGTTTTGGGAGTTAAGATTTTCAGTTGAAGATTGCTGATTCTTTTCTATTCTTTTTAATTCTCCCTTCCCTGATTTGTGTGATTGATACTTTGCAGGAAACAGCCATGTCTAATGCTTGGTATGAAGTGTTGTCGGTTTTGCACTTGATGGCAACACTGTTATTATCACAGGCTAATTTATTGCTTCTTCCGAGAACATCTTCTGATGGTTATCAGCCAAAAGTATCAGAAGGTGGGAAATACATCAAAATTTCCAGTATATGTTAGTTCATCCTACTATCTTTTTATGGCTTTCATTGATACCAAACAACCTAAACACCTTTTGATAACAAGGGACTGTGAGTTGATCATGCCACTGCTTATCCCCATAAATCTCATCTTTCTTTCCTTTCAGATTAAAAATTTATCATCTGATCATGCAAATTTATTATGAACTTCAGAGCGTAGCTCACCATTGGATATGCAGACTAAAACTTATTCTCTCGATTTCATGGCAAAGAATATATCTTCTTGCATCTTCCATGGTAGCTAGACACATATAGCAGTCACTGTATTTCTCTCATCATTAGCCGCTGCTCCCTAGATACCCTGAGTTTACTGAATTTTTAACTTCACCTTCTTCACTAGCGAAAAGTTTAGGAAACTGTGCATACTTCCTTGGTCCGAAAGTAAAAATACCGGTTGCCCCTCTACTAAACCTTTCATCTTCATAATGGAATAATCTGCTCTTCCATTCATTGCATTTAAATATGCTATTGGCCACATTTCTTGCTTAACTTGACGTTCTAGAACCTGTTCTTGACTTTCACCATCTTGTACTAAAATATTGAAGAGTTGAGTGTATTTGTGATCTTCAGTATGCTTTTCTGGGCCCCAGTAGCTAATCCCTTTCTTCCCTCACCATCCATCTCCCACTTTGCTATCAAGGGCTAATTTATTACTTGTTCCAAGAACATCTGATGGTGATCCACCAAAAGTATCAGAAGGAAGGAAATACAGTAACATTTTCAGTACAAGTCAACACAATTCTCTGTTGCTTTATTGCTTTTTATGATACCAAACCAACTAAACAAATTTTGGTACCAAGACTCCAGGTGATTGGCTCAAACAAAATTCTATTAGAAAATGATTCAAGTTCAACAACTCTTCCTAAACTCTCTTTCATATTTATAGTGCACATGGAGATTCAGTTACTTCTCTCTCCTTGGCGAAAAAAAAAGTTACTTCTCTATCTGAAAGTAGCATACGGCTAACAATTAAATAATCTCTTAATAATGCATTTTATCTATTACAAGTATACATAACGCTTGGTCTGAGAATGAAAATTTAACTCTTGGTTCTTACTGGCAGAAAGCAGACGAGCTTCTGTTGATATTTTCTTAAAGGCAGCTGGATATCTGGATTGTGCTGTCAGACATGTTCTTCCCCAATTGCCTGCAGAGTTCAGGTTGGTACTGATCTATCGTGATGAATTGACTATGTGACACTTTGATAATCTCAACAACCATATTTACTATTGTGATATTTATTAATATTCTAACTGTTGGTTTTTATCTTAGGAGAAACTTACCAGTAGACCTTGCAGAAGGAGTTCTTCGAGCACTCTGTCTACAAGCATTAGGACAGGTATTAACATATGCTTTTAGAATGACTGAATCAATTATTATTATCTCATGAAATTCATCTAGATGCTCAAATTGGAATATATTTTTCTGAAATTTAGAACATTAAGAACCAAACGCCCCCTCTCATTTGTTGAATGAAAATCATGTGAATCTAATATTCTTGTCCTCTTATCACTGTTTATTTTGTTTGATGCTGAAGTCCTGGAGTACTGGATCACTATGTAATGATGCTCGTGAATCATGGTTATGCAAAGACATGTTAATTGGAATACAATTTTTTCTTCATCATGAGAGTCTGATATATTTGTGATTTCACAATGAAATTGGAAGTGAAAAGTGAAAACTGTTCAGCGGATTAATGCTGTTGCCAGATCTGATCAAAAGTATCTGATCAAAGGAGCAGTGTCTCCCTTTTAAAATTTGTTTATTCAAATTAGAAGATTTTGTACATTGGTAGCTCACCCATCAGTGGGAAACTCTTCCTCTGTAAATGGTATCAATATTCAATTTAACACTGGAGAAGGCGGAATGTTGAGTATATAGAATCCCCTCTCCCTTCCTCCTCCTCCTTTATCTTCTATCTATGTTGGGTGTACACTTGTTTATTTCTTCCCCAATCTGTTTAGGGCGTTGATATCCAACTTGGAATGGCAATTGATAGTACCAAAGCCACTCTTGCTGTGAAGCGCAGACTTGCATGTGAGATGGTGAAGTATTGGCAGCAGGTAAAAATGTCAAGTTTTTCATTGTCATACAGCCCTTACTATATAGCTATACCCAATCTGAGGCACGTATTAATCATTTTGCCTTTTGGATTTTGACTTCTATGCGTGGCTGAAATTTTCAAAGTAGTGCTTTAATCTATTAGGTATCTAATATGAACTGTCATTCTACTGCTTCTTATGCATCCCTATGTTTGCTTTCATTTCTGGATTGGTTGTTCAATTTTATTTGCATGCAAACTTTCAAGTTCTATGATCCTGTATAACTTTGTTTGAAAGTATCTTGATTATTTAATACTTCAAAGGCCAGGAGTTTCATTAGGTCTTCTAAATCAATTTGTCCTGGCTTTGCATTGCACAGGTTCTTTTACCCGGTCTCTGTTCTATAGGTGCATTTTCTGTTTTCCTGAAAGTAGTCTCTCCCTACTTTCTAGTATTTTAAGTCACAGGGGAAGTGATCCTTTATGTGATAAATATCCAATTTTCTCATATTGCCGTTTACTACTTTTCTGGTCCTATTTTGTAACGCAAAGAAAATATTTATTTGGTATTTTGGTCCTATTTATAGGGAACCTCAATGATTTTTGTGTCCATCTTTACCCTTTTGCCCCTATTAAACACTGAGAAGGTTATTAAATGTTGGAGTATTATTTTTAAAGTATGTATATTTAATAGAGGTAGAGTTGGAAACTTGTTGAATTTTTATATAGAGTTAATAAGATTTAAAGTTTCCTTTGATTTCAGTAAATATAATAGAAATAATTTATAAATAGGACTGGAATAAGTATATTTCAAATTGCTTAGTAAATTGATACTTTAATTAATGAATATCCCTTATTTTTTATGGGATTATCCACTTTTTCCCCTTGATTCTGCTTGTTTAACATTCTTTTTCTGAGACAATATTTGTTTATTATACATTGCTGTACATGTTTGTTCTTTGGTATTATAAAATGAGTGCATTTAATCAGGATGCATTATCTTGTTTGCCCTGTTTATTGTACAGGCTCAAGACAACATTATGAATATTCCATTAGCTAATGGTTGGGGTGAAAAGCATCGTCTATTTGTCAAATGGAAGTATGTTGAAGCAAAGGTATATGATTGTTATTTTACTTTTGGGTTATTTTCAATCTGGCCATTTTTTGGGGTGAACTGGAACTATTGTCTGTCAAACTGATTTGATTTTAGGGTTATTTCTTGTCGTTTAATACTATGGCTTATTGTATGGTAATATGTGAGAGGCAGCTAACTTCAGAGATCAGAGAAATAAGACAAAGAGGGAGACATTTGCTAGTTGATTGATATTCTAGTGTAAATAATAAAAAAGTGCAGCTGAAGTTACAAATTGGATCAAATAGTTGTCGTCTACTTTTTATCCATTGAGGATTAGGGTTTTTTTTTTTTTTCCCCCTGGTGCTGATATCAACTTTTCGCTTTCATTAACTAGGCAGAAACTTTCTTGTTAATGTGTACAACTAAGAGACTAACTATTTTTTATTTCTTGATTACACTAACCATATTTTGGTCCATTGTTTTTTTAACTGCGTTCTCTCCTTGTGACAAGACTCAAGATAATTTGGACCTGAGGCAAGTTATTTCCATAATAGCAGTGATGCATTGTGAAAGACAATTTGTTTTTATGATTGTTTATGGGAAAATGCTTATCATTGCCATCAACTTTCAATTTTGTGAATTAACCCTTCAACTTTGAAAATCATTTCAATGTCAGCTTTTTGCCTTTTTAGTTTGTCCATGTTACCTTCACTGTCACATTACCACACTGAACCTTCAATTTTTAAACCGCTATCTGGCCAAGAAAACTATTTTTGAACAATCTATTCAGCCGTTATTTTCTTGGTGAAAAATAAAAATTCATACTTAGAAACCAGTGTTTTTAGGGGGGGGGGGGGGGAACTAGCTATATTTTTTCACATGAACAGATCGTCTAATGATCAAATGTCTATTTACTAGAGCTTTATATGTAGAGAGGTGGCATGATTAGCTGAACTGCTACCCGTAAATTATTTGAGAATGAGTATGTAAGATGCATTCAACAGAAATAAGTGATTTTAAATTGTTTATATTTGGTTTATCTCTTCACCAGGCTGCAGCATATTATTATCATGGCTTGATTCTTGATGAGGGAAATACAGAGAAGTCTCATGGGATGGCTGTAGCTGCTTTACAAGCGGCTGATGAGTATTTCAAAGAAAGCAAGAGGCTGTGTGAGACGTTCAATGCAGCACCTCCGTTATCAAGGTCTCTTCTGTTCAAATGTTTATTATCTGCGCTGATACATTATTCTCCTCCATAGTCTACACTTCCCAAACCAACAGTTAAAATTATTAGTCTTACGTATGGCATCGGTTCTGAGAAGAAATAATGAATGTGCTATTTTCCTGTTAACTCTAGAGCATTTATGCTTGGTGGCCACAAGTGAATGCACATTGCAGCCACACCCAGGGTAAAAAAATGCGCAATAAAAGAATCTTATAATTAAAAAGGAATTCACATAATGTCTCTTTGTTTGTGGGTTCAGTTGTCATTAGGGTGGATCCAGTGTTAGCATTTGTCTTAAAGAAGTTATCCATTTTCATATAATTAAGCACCTTTAAACCTCCAATGAGTAATGCTGGAAAGCCTGGTGATTGCAGAATTTGTTGTTATAATATATCATTTCCAGGTGTATTCCCACTTCATTTTCCTCCTTAGTTTAGGAGAAATTGGTGGATAATTGGGGTTATCGACCTCAATTCCTCGACATGCATCATTGAAGATTTTAAAAAAGCATCACGTGAGCATCATTCACATTGGCCATCGTTCTCTTTATGTGCTTAGTTAATCTAGGTTCTCTGATAACCATGCTTTTGATTAGTTGGCATCTCGTGAAGAGCATAGTACTCTAGATTAGCAGTTCATGCACTTATTGTACAGCCCACCTAACTAGAAGTCTTGTTGCAGAAATCCACCAGTTTGGGGGACCATGAAGTATCTCTCAGAGAAAATTCCCAAGGATACTTCGAGCAAGGTTCGAATAAACCGAGATCTGTACTCTCATGAGAGGTAAGCTTTTCTGGATTGCATTAATAAATTGTTGCTTAATGCTTCTTGATTATCATGCTTGGGCTTGATGAATGGAAGTATGATGACCAAGTCATAATAATATCTGTTAATTTGTATTACAGAATCATGGAGACAGCACCGACATTGCCCGATTTTGCATTGGCCTTGAAACCAGATGAATTTCAACTTCCTCAGGTGGATCCCTCCTGGAAAGGGGAGAACATAAAAGCAGGACAAACTGGCCCCAACAATCTCAAGGGTGACAGTAGATAAAACCTCGGAAATTTGCAGATTTTGAAGATATGACAGAGGTTTCCAACTCAAAGGGTAAAAGCGTGATTTTTCAGTCGTTGTCAATAGAAAAATTAGTTTCTTCTTGGCTTCTCTTTTCCCTGGGCCTTTTTCTTCTCTCCTTAATATATGAAAAATGCCCAAAAAATAGAGCTTTGAGTGGTGTCTATAATGTTATTGCTCTGGTTCAGGGAAAAGATGGTTCCTTGCCGATGCCCAAATAATATTATTGTTATTTATTTCAAAGTAAAGCCAGTCAAATGCTCAATTTGGTAAATCAAAGTTTGTATGTGATTGTGTGGAAATGAAGATGAAGTTGACATGAGCAGGAAGGAATGATTTCATTTGCAGATTCCCAAAACTGAAGATTTCCCTTCCCCTTCCCTTATCATGCCTCTCCAATTTCCCGCATATGCTATCATCTCATGTCTTATTCCCTTTTCATCTTGCTGTTTTGCTTTGATTCTCTCGATTCAACTGTCTCGCTCCTTTTTTCTTTCACATTGAACAATGGAAAGTTTGTTCTGTAGCTAAAACTGATAGCATGATCATAAATTTACTTTCATTCTCAACCTTAGTGAATATTACCGAATGATGATAATAGAAGCATAATAAATCTTGTACGCTTATTTTCTTTCTTTCTTTCTTTCTTTCTTTGTTTTTTTTTTTTTTTACTTCAACTCTCAAAAGTATCAAATGTGTCTTGCGCCATTCAAATGAGAAGAAAATTATTGGCATCAAAGAAGTTCTAGTGCATCTATTATAATTTGAGATCTAAGCTAAAGTCTGTATCCACTGAAAGGGGAAACTAGAGGGCAAATCCAATGAAGGCCAATAGCGTTGTACCAAATAAAAGAGAATGAAGACTTATTATTCCGAAAAGAATATTTTTCACTATAAAAACAAGCGATATTCTGAAAAACTGCAAAAATCTACGTAAAGAATGAGACAGAACCAAGATTATGACAAATCAAAGTTTCAGTCCGAATTTACAGTTACTAGCCTTGATGCTTATCAGACTATTAGCAGACAAGCTATCTACCACCAGCATGCATTTCCCCAAGATTCTGACCTTCCTCAGCTTCAAACTCCCAAGTTTGATAGCTACTGGTGCATGCACTATAAGCTCCAATGGAACTATTCCTCTCTGTTGTTGCTCTTGCAGTGCACTCATCAATGTGCTTCCTGATTCAGCTTGTCCACTTAAGGACATATCAAGCACTGTTCTGTTCTGATGGCCTTGGTAGAATATGGGCAATGACCCTTCACACAGCTGAGATTTTGTGAACCATACACTCAACCTTCCTCCTTTCTCATAGTAAATTCCAATCTTCTTGTTGGGGTTATTTGCTATGATCTTCACATCAAACTTTGCATACAGTGTCATGTCCAAGTTCAGCCTCAGATCATTTATTCTTAGACTTTCTACCGAGTAATTGGGTAGCTTTGGTTTGAAAATTAGGTAAAGGGCTCCTAAAGTTGCTCCCAAGACAATGAGGAGAAGAAAAACTAAGCTTAGGGCCCAACAAATGCACTTGCAGAAGCAGCTTGTTCCTCTTTTTGGTGGTGCTAATAGAGGAGGATGATGATTCTGCACATGACTACCCTTTTCTGATCTTGGGAAACTTGGAGGTATAAGAGGTGTTTTTGGTGGCGGCCGTGGTGGCGGCACTTCTGTATCCACCGCAGCTACTGGGAGGATTATCTTCCGATGAGGAGCCATGAATGAGTTCTCTTGTGTCAAACTATTGGTATATATGATCATGAATGAGTGCTACTTTATTCAGCGTCCACTTATTTCATCATTTGATTATGAATAATATACTATTGCTGGGAGGTGATCTTCCTCACCTAATATAACATTACAGGATTTATGTTTGTAATAAAAATCCAATAATTAAATAGTATAAATTGGTAGTTCATCTAAAAAGGCAATGGTCGTTGAGTGAATGCAATAAGAACCAGCAAGTTTCTTTTGTTTTTCTTTTTGGCGTGCATCATATACTGGAAAACACCACTTTTTGGATCAAATCAGTGGAAATTTGGCTATCACAAGAAAACTCCTGTTTGACCAGGCAATGACCAAAAGCGAAAAAGAAAATTGGAGTGCCAAGCGGCATTGATATCAGTTTTACTTCAATTTACGTTTTGTTTTTGATTGGCTCTTATTTAATGGGCCAAGGTTTGTCCTGTGAAATGGGTGTGTTTTTTCGTTTTGCTTCTCTCTCTCTCTCTCTTCTTTTTTTGTTTTTGTTTTTTTTTTTTTGTGTGGGTGGGCTGGCTGGTGGCTGATTAGAGGGTTCAACGGAAGTTAAACAATTCCTATGGATTGTTTGAATAAATTGGTTAAGAGTAGTTTAATCAAAGGTTTCGAGATTGAAACCTTTATATATAGTAGCGATTAAATTTTTGATAGGATATATGTTCTTCGAAGAAGTGCTTGTAAGCCGCAATCAAACTAGTTTGGATCAAAAACTTGGAATAACGGAATAAAGACAAAAGGAAATTAAACAATTGATGAGTCATACTAATGTTAGTCTACACCAGTCGCAAGCATTGAATTAGTGTGCTTATGCATTTCTTTTCTATTTTTCCCTTTCCTTTTATTTTGTCAATACAAAAGCCACAATTAACTCATGTGAGGGAAAAGTCTAGCTTATTTCATGTAGCTCATTACAAATACCAGAAATTTATAAAGACCTATACTCTCTAGGAGGCCTGTTCGGCTTTATGAAGAAGATGGTGTCCCTAACGAATTAGCTAATCTGCACATTAATTAACTTTCCTTGACATGTAATCAAATTTAATGATCCAACTACGCATTAAAAGTTCCCAGATTTCTCACAGCAGTTGGATATTGAAGTCACAGTTGATTGGTTGTAGAGCCTTGATGAAGTCAACATAAGCCATGATTTTTTGTGACCCTTGTCATTTCAGAATTCTCTGACTTTTAGATCTGCCCAAAAGTGCTTTTCAGGTAACAAGTTTGTTTTTTGTACCCCACAATTCAATTTTTATTGTCTCTGAGCCGACGGTAGGTTCAACCATTGGGCCAGTTAACCCATATATATCTAACCTAATTTGGGCATCTTGAAATGGTTCCCATTTAGAGCATGGGTCCAAATAACTAGAACTGTCTAACCTAAGTTGTTTTTTAAGCTCGACTCTCATTGGCAAGTTCTAGAGCAGGTCTGAAAGCTCACATATTCTAGTTATTTTAAAAACAACTTTTTGGTGATATTAATACATAATTTTAAAAATTGTGTTGTTTTCATATATTAATATAAAAATAAAAATAAAATAAACAATTTCAACCATATTATTTGCTATATTAACAATTTCAATCAAACAATTTCCAATAATTTCAATTGGGAAAAAGAGAGAAAAAAAAATTACTTAAAAGAATTAGCCCTAGCCCAAACCACTTTTTAAAGGCAAAACTCTCTTTTTCGAGTCTGGCTCTGAAAAAAATACAAGACCTAAATGGGTAAACTAAATGACCCCACCCATGTTTCTTTTTTATTTTCTCTATAGAATCTAGTTAGAGTTATACTTCGCCATGTTGTTATTAATTTTACTATCATTTTGAGTTCTGTCATTTTAAATCCCCTAAGTGTAGTTCCTTATTGATCACAGTAAAATTAAACACTTATGCCTTGTATCCCTTGTTTGATACGTTGAAGTGGGATTAGAGAAGTGAAAATGAAACTGTAAAATTTACTTGTTTGATATACAAGAATTCAATTCTTTAGAGAACCTAATTCCAATAAAAACCTTGAAACTCACTTTCATCATACTCTCATGAAAACTCAATTCCATCCTTCTCACTTTAATGGAATTTTTATCTTCCATCACCGTACCAAATATATTTATTATTTCACTTCCACTTTTACTTCCATCAAAAACTCTTTCTTGTATCAAATGAGGCATCACTATTTCGTTATAACTGATGGAACAAAACTGAGAACTATTGCATGTGAATACCATACATGAATAAAGTAATGATATTACCACCGAAAATGCAAAATTTACCTTAAAATCATCCCAAAAACTTTAATTCAAGAGGAAAATGAGTATGTCCCACTACGGTGAAAATATTGCTGTTTCTTTCTTGTATATAACTTACGACATTTTGGCAGAGCTCCATCCCAAATGATGTACAATTAGGATATGGATTGCAAATTACAAGGAGACAACTAAAATATAACAAGTTATCTTCATTTCTTGACCAGAACATAGAGAACAACACGATTGCTGCGATAATCAGGATGCCATAGAGTTTGATCCACACGTCCAATCGTAAAAGTCTTCATTGCTGCTTCTATGAAGTACTCAAGAATGGCATCTGAAATCATCATACATTATTCACAAACTCAATGCTATGTTCCGCATGATGGCTTGGGGTAAAACGAGAAGAAAAAGAAGAAAGAAGAGATATTTCACCATTTCGTAGTTCCCCAGCCAAAAATATTGTTGTTTTGGGCCCAGAGAGTTGTTCTAGTGTCACTAGCAAATCCACAACAGCATTCTCACTATATACCACATCAGATCCGAGCACTGAAAAGAGCAAATTACAAATGAAATCTGAAAGAGTGAATCACATGATTATCTAAAACAGGGTGTTTTTCATCACAAAATCACTTTTAGAGAGCCATATTGCTTCAGCATACGGCAAACTTATGATGCCAGTGACAGTTAGGAACGGAAGACACAGATAAATAAGAACCAAAAATAAAAATTACAGAGGAAGACATTCTAAACCAAGATTATAAAATGATTACAAATCTATAATCAAGAGTAGTATAAATGAAACCATTTCTCTAAACTTGTTTTCTGGAAACTAGTTGTTAAATCTTTTCTATTCCTTGTTAGGATGATATAATTAAGGATTATTACCATAATCAGGTGCAGGTTCAGTGAGCTCTAGGTCAGGATCTTCACCCCATATGAGTTCTGTGGCTGTTGCAGAACCTCGCACGCCAACATGTTCCATATTAGTTTCAATATTCTTTCTTAGAAGCCTCAGCCTATCAGGCAAATCAGTAAGAATGACTTGACCACCCAGAAGAGCTGCAATGAAACTGAGGAAGAGAATAAGAACAATGAAATATATAGAATTAGACAAAAAAGAAGTAAAACATATCTTTTGGTTGCTGGTCAAAAATCAGGACATTAAAGTGAAAGTTCAAAACTCTAAGCTTTGAACTCAATTGCTTGCATTCCAAAATTATTCTAACTTAGCTTTTCTCCTTGAAATTTCTACAGTACGAGTTTTTAAAAGTATCTAACATCTTGCAAGTTAGTCCTTACAATTTTTGCTGATGGTCATCTCCAAAGGGCACGGTTTCTCTTGGACAGTGCATGACTTCGCATTACGACAGAAGAATGACGAATTAAATTTGTCTAATTTTGGGTTGTTCTACATTAAGGAAAAAGATTCTAAACTTCCATGTACACTTTCTAGAACAGCAAGCTTCGCTTGCTCAGACCTTTACAGGTGATGTAGAGTGTATACCTTGATATACCAGTTGGATCAAATAATGGCAACAAAATTTGGTGGTGCCTATGTGACATTTGATGGAATGGCTAGATAGCAATGAGTTAGACGTTTTCTAGAACTAATAGTACATTCCAAAAATATTATAGCATTATAGCTCAGCAGGTCTACAAATCGTGGGGTCAATTGTCAGTTCACTATCATCCCTTCTATGGAAATTGGTTAAGAGTTGCATTAAAAGGATATGGCAATAAGCCCAAATTAATTCACTTACAGTTGACTGGTTGAGATAGGAGAGTTTAAGTGTTCTTACCCAACCAAACCGCAACCGGATCCCAATTCAACAATCTTGTTGCCTTGAAGAACAAGCATTCCTGAGTCAACAGAATGTTCTAGAAACTTCCCCAATATAACTCCACTGTCCCACATCACCGATCCAGTCACTCCAGGTGTGCTCTTAAATAAAAAGTTTAAAAAGCCTTAACTGTGAACTAAAGTAAGAAAAATTGCCAATTGGTAATGTAGACATTTCATCCTTGAAACTAATTTTCTGTGGTTGTAAAACATAGTGGTTGAAGCAAAAGCTGTTCATGGACGTCTCTATCATGATGATATACTGTTAATTCTTATCATTAGCAAAACTGCTGATATAACACAGCGTAATTTCAAAATAAGAGATATTAGTTAGTACTTCACCAATACCAGTTTTCTTCCTTTTTTCTCCCTCTGGATTTTAAATTTCCTTTTTTTCTTTCCCCCTCGCAAATAAAGAAAGTAGACATTTTACTGACAGGTAAACATGTGGGAGCTACGGATCTAATCTTTAAATCCAATATTTTTCATTTACTGACAGGTCTAATATGTTCACAGTTATAACGGTTAGACAGCTGAAATTAAGAGCATACGAACAAATCCTCTAGCAGTTCATTTAATAGTTCACACAACCATAACAATGAGAAGTTGAAATTATGACTTGAGGAAGCATCAACGGAACATATGTAACCTCACCAATGGTTTTACGATATTAAAGCAAAAAACAGAGAGAGAACAATAAAAGCATCAGCATCAGGCATAGGGCTATAAGCTCCTTGCATTTTCAAACAACATAGAAGCACCATTTAAGTGGCTCCTCCTCAGCGGAATCACACATACTTGGCAATTAAAGCACTATCTGATTTCTATTTATTGTATTGTATGGCCATTCTATCAATTGTAATGTTAGGATGGCATTGACATGTGGTTGCTAGATCAAGTTGACTAAAGAGAAGGAAAGATTAAAGATTAGATACCAGTGAAGAAGGGGACTGAAGAATGGAGAGAGAGTGGCCGCAGGAGTCTAGACGCAGATTGAGGGAAGATTGGGAAACGAAGGCGTTGGGTTTGGAAAGAGTAGGCTGTTGTATTCCCCAGAGAAGCATGATCTCCTCCGCAGCCGATTCCTCCCCTTCAGCCAGCAATCTCACCTTCCCACCGTACGAACCCAGACTCACCAATGCTACCTCTTCGTCTTCTTCTTCGCCTACTTCACGACCCATGTTGCCGCCGCCGCCGCCGTGCATCGCCAGTCACGCCCTCTCTCAGTGAACGTTTTATGTTTGGGAAAATGGGACTCATAGTGAATTATCAAACCAAAATCATGATTTAAAATATTTTAGGGGAGACATTTAGTTTTATAATTTTATATAAATTTTATTTTAATTTTATAATTTTATAAAATATTTTTTTATTTTTTTTAATTTTAATTCTGTTTGTTTCATTTTAATAATTTTTTTATATTAAATTTTTAAAAATTTAGAAAATATTTATAAATACAATATTTAATGTAATTTTTTTAAATGATAATGATTAATATAAAAAATAATTAAAAGTAATATTAAAAATTAAAAAAATAATTTATAGAATTAAAATTTTATATAAAATTAAAAAATTAAAAATATATTTTAACTAATATTTGATGTAATTTAAAATTTATAATTAATTTTAATATATATAAAATATAAATATCTTTTAAAGAATCATAATTTTAAATTTATGCATGTATAGTAAGTATTTAAATATTTTTAACAAAACATTATTTTAAATTTATAATTAATTTTAATGTGTAATAACAGGTTTGAATAAATTTTAATAAAAAAATAATAATAAAATTAATTTAAAATATATAAATGATAATTTAATTTTTCAAAATATCATAAATTTTTTAAATTTTTTTTGATTTATAAAATTATATAAATTATTAAATTATTTTCATTAAAAAAATAATTTACAAATTTTATTCAAGTATTTATAATTTTTTTTATATTTATAATAATATAATAAGAAATAAAAAATTTAATATGTAAAATTATGATTTATTATTATATTATTATAAATATAAAAAAATTAAAAATTTAAATAAAATTTATAAATTATTTATTTTTAATAAAAAAAATTTAATAATTTATATAAATTTATTAATGATAAATTTTTTTTAAATTTTTAAAAAAATTATAATTTTTAAAAGATTAATTATTATTGATATGTTAAAAATTTTATTGTCAATCTCTCTTAATATAAAATCAGTATTACACGTGTGAAATTGATTGTTATACAAGTTAAAAAAAAAAAAAAAAGGATCACTTGCGGTGCGTTTCGCTTTTATGTTGTATTCATATGAGCAATCAATGCATTTTTAAAATATTAATATAGCATTACTTGCCACTCTCTCAGTCGGCCTTGCTCGGAATCAGTCATCCCTCTGTGCTCTGCGCTCTCTATATCTTGCCGTCCTTTTTCTCCGACTCTCCCTCCCTTCTGCTCGCTGTCACCATTTTTCTGGTAAGAGTTAATAGTTTCTTCAACCTTAAATTTTAGGAAGTCATTTGTATAGGTTTCTGCTGCTTCATTCTTTCTGGGTGTCTTGTTGATTCATTTATTTTCTGCTGCTGGTTCATTGAGTTTAGTTAATGGGTATTTTGTGTCTAATGAAATCATGGGGCCCAGATCTACTCATTATTGGAAATGCTTTTTTCAATAATCTGCCTTCTTCAAACCTGAGGAGGAGGAGGGATGGAAGTGAGGGATTGAGTGTTTCATGGCTAAGGAGGATTTGGATTTTTGGGTGGTCTCAAAAGAGGAGGGTTAATGAATATATAGAGCTTCGACGAAGGCTTGCTTGGGACAGGGATGGTTTTTTTTAAGGGATTGTTCAGACAAATTTTTAATGTAATTTTTTAATATGAATTCAGTTTATTAAATGTTATAAACAAATAAAATGGAAGTTCACTTTAATGCAAAAACTATGACAAGAAGCAACTAAAAAAATAAGTCGGACAATCTCGAGAAAGATTTGAAGGAGTGGGATGATTTATTTTTTAAAGAGACTGGTTTAGGGTTGGACAGTGAAAGAAATACAGTGATGGTATCAGATGAGTGGTGGGACCCAAAAAAAAAGGTACGAAAATAGTTAACACTAAGGCGCTGTTCGGTTGCTAGAAATGATGGGAATAAAATATATTGAAAAAATAAGAATAAAAATGAATTAAATTATCTAATTCCTTATCATAAACATGGAATCACCACAGTGACTATAAATGTCAAGAATCATGACTTCTGATCTCATGAGCCAAATTATCCTTCACTTTTATGAACATGGTTAACTTCTATTCTACATCTTGATCATTGTATTTTTATTTTCATTTTCTTAATCTATTCCTTTCCCGCAAGCAAACAGGCTATAAATTATAAGTTGTATCATTCTTTTATATAGGCTTTGATGTTGATTACGCAGGAAAATCCAAAAATATGAAAAATTCAGGTAATACTAGCGGGACTAGTGGTGAAGCAACTCATGGGAAGAGAAAGATGATGGGAGGGTCTGATAGGACCGATACGCAAAAACTCCTTGACTCAGAAGAAATAGCAGATGCAGTATGTAGGATAGCTACTGCATATGTGGCTAGAAATAATGCAGTAAACAAAATTATGAATGGTGAGATCTCAATTCGTGAGGTTATTGCTGAACTCAATGGCATGGAGGAAATATTTGGTGATCGTGATTTACATTGGCGATGTTGCCAACTTTTGTTGTACAAGCCTAATCGGGAGATATTTGTCGCACTTAGAGGACATCGAGAGAGGTTGATGAATTGGTTGAGGAATCAAGCTTACAAACCACCAACATTCATTCGTGAAGCCCTTGATGCTTAAATTGTACTTTAGTTTTGTTATTGTGATAAGTCTTATATTATGCTATGTTATTGTTGTTGACTTAATTAGAGATCAACTTCTAGAGCACGTGTTAATATTATGATTCTAATTTGAGTTTGCCCTTCACGTTCAAGGCATATCTGGATCATTCTGCAACTCAAAAGTAAAGCTTCCTTTCTCAAGTAATGGTGTATTAGCCAAGAACCAGTCTATCATGAAAACACGTTTTGAAATGGAGAGTTTAATATTTGAACATCTCAATTCACACGAAAAATTGCTTTTAATGAAATTACTCTTTTGTGCTGTTATTTCTGAGACTGATGCAACAAGATGAGAAACAACTTCAGAATTGAAGAATCTTAGTACAAACTTTGCACAAAAGATTGCTCTACCATCAGAGAAAAAATTCCCAAGGCTTCAGGTTCTCGTATGTTATATACAATGTGTTGTGAACATTTGCATACAAGGAGGGGAATAAAATAGCTCGTCCTATTCATATTTGGCCACGTGTAAATCTTGAAACACATCATTCTTGACAGAACTGAGTGAAGTCGGTTAACACTCAGCAAAAAAAAAAAAAAAAAGACTGAGAAATGGGAAGGCAGTGAGATAAAGATGGCGAGATGTGTCAGTTGGTTTCATGATCATGGCGTCTGGTTAGGCGAATTTCGAAGCCATTCACTAGCCGAGCAGAGGGGAAGAAGGACATCTTATCTTCCTTCTCTTGTGTCCATCTGAGATCAAAACGTGCAAACTCATCAGCTGCAATTAAAACTGCTTAATTACTCAATCAGTGAAAATTCAAACGTTTCTGAGTAGACCTCATGTGTCTGTAATGGACAGAAAAGTAAGTACCTATATGTAGTAACAAAGTAATGGATAAATAGAGCAATCTGAAGGCGAGCCAGCTCTGCTCCTGGACAGAATCTAGCACCTCCTCCAAAGGGTGCATAGAATGGACTACTTCTCCAGTTCCTCTTTTCCTTCATAGAGACCATATGGAGTCAGAGAATAGAGTTGAATTTAACATCTTTTCTCGTGTATTGCATAGAGTCTAAAGAATGAATATATAGATGTAAATATAGAGATATATTGATAAGGCAGCATGAACCCACCAATGGAGTGTGTGGACTAACCTCGTTTTTGGGGTCCATCCATCTCCATGGATTGAAGCCTGAAGCTTCTTTGTACACATTCTCATCCAAATGAACTGCCGAAAGAAATGGAACCACAAAGCATCCCTTGGGTACCACAAAATCTACCCAAAAACAGATGAGCAAGAGTTAGTGGTTAGGAAGCAAATAGATTGAAAGACACAGTAAAGAACTCAAATGTTTAGTCACTAGTTGAAGTGGTGTTGTGTTTGATTCAAATGGAAATAGGTTAGTTGTCTGTCTTTTTTTCATGACCTTCACATATTTATCTAATATGAATACTGTAATATCAATCCATCACTAGTCTAATTCATGAGATAGGTTGTATACCTTGATAGTTTACCTCTTCTTTTGCTTCTCTCATTAACCAAATTGCAATACCTCCAAGTCTTAGTGTTTCATCAATTACCTGTAAATGAAAGATAGCATGAGATTTTATCACGTAACGCTCATGAGAAGAAGCATCTCACCAAACCCGTCTAAATTTGGAAAACTAGTATTTCATCAAATACTTACACATTGAGTGAATGGCATTGCTTTATAATCTTGCCATGTAAGCATTTCTTCTCCTGAATTACTCCTCACAGATTCTTGTTCATCCTACTCAAGATGCGAACTTGTAAGAACAATGAAATGGAGGAAAAAATCACTTTAATTACTTGAATTCAAGGAAAATAGTTTTATATTAACTAGTTCTCATATTGGTTAGAATTACCAGTATCTCTTTCAAGGCTTCAGGGCAATGAGTGAGGAAATAGACTGCAAAAAGCATTGTTTTGGTGGTAGTTTCATTCCCTGCAAAGAGAAGATTGATGATGAAGTCTGCAACTGCGCCGTCCGGTAAGCTTTCTTCCTCCAGCAGCCTTCCAAGCACACCATTACCAACTACTGCAGGACCTTGTTGCCTGTGTAAATCTATGGTCTTGTTTATCTTGCTTATGATTTTCTCCCTTGCCTGATAAAAACCTAAGAATGTCACTTCATCACAGTTTCATTACTAATAATCCCAAATTGATCATAATAGCCTTTAAATCATAAACAATAGCAAGGGAAAATTTCACTGATATCTTGTGGTACCTTCATAGCAGTGTGATATGCAAACCCTGGCAAGTTGATGGGAAACGATAAACAACCATCAACAAAGTCAGAAAACAGTTGAGCCATTTCATTGACTTGAGATTCACTTGACACTCCTAATAGTTGATTAACCATTAGGTTTATGGCAACCTGCAGCAAATTTACAGAGATTAATTGATCTGATTCATATGCAATGAATGCTGGCTGTATTCAAGACTGCAAGAACTTGCCTTCCTGCAAACATCTTGGAGGAGGATGACTTGATTGTTCTTGAAATTGCTGAGAGTTTGAAGCAGGACCTTCTGAATATCATTCAAGAAATGGAGCTTGAGCTTCTCTAACCGCATCATGTTGGAGGCAATCCCGTGCAGCTTCCTCTGCTGTTCACCTTGCACTGTGATCACACCATTTTTACCAACCAAATCTCTGAATGATTTCGGATAACTCGATCGAAATAATTTCCCTTCGTTTTGCATCACAAAGCGGTTGAAGCTAGGATCTGCTGACACCACTGCCCATTTCCCAAATAGGCTGCAAGAAAATATCTTACCATACCTATGCCAAGGGATCAAATTTCCATCAACCACAAATGGTTTTATCACAAATAAATCTGAGTCCTTTGACACAGGCTAATAATAGGCTTCCATAATTTGTTTCTGATAAAATATGATTATCTTATTATCCAAATCAAGTAAATTTAGAAGATCGGTTTTGTTTCAACTCTTGTAAATTGAGACAAAGATCATTGAGTAAAGCATGGATTTGCATGTTTGTTTTCAATTGAAAACTGCTTTAAATGTTACTATATAAATATAATGCTCTTTTCTTGCTAAGCAAGCAAGTACCTTTGAACCATTTCTTCAACAAACTGAGGAGGATGAGAACTTGCAACTGCATTGTACCAATTGATGCTGTCACCGATCAACGGCCAGCCTCTTCTTCCCGGAGGCAATCGCTGTGTTCGTTTCTCTGACTTCTTCAACGTTGACTGTATTACTTTTGCAACTATCAGAGTGGTCAAAAGTGTCACAAAGGTAACTAGCCATGGCTCTGACAGATTTTCTCTCATTCTTTTGGGAAACAAAATGAAGGACAATAGCTAATCACAGATTCCCCTGCAGCCAGAGGCAGATTTATTGTAGAAAATGAGACAAACATGATAATTGATAATCAATTGTCCAATGGGAACGTGGATTAAATATTACAAAAAGAAGGAAAAGAAAACAATATGAAAAGGAAGGTTTGATATCTGGTTATATGCTAAGTTGACCTTGTGAAGATCTGCTAGGGCCACGTTAAGTTATTTGTTTTCTGAGATAATCGTTCACAGAATCTATTATTTAAAGCAAGTTTGAAATTGGAAAATTTTAATAAATTATAAACCAGAAAAAGTCGAACTAACAAGTTGGAACACCATCACAAGATCAAACTCAAAAGTGGCTAATCATTGATTTCCTTTTCTGATATGCATTTCAACAAGTAATTCATTTTGTTCTTTCCTCAACAAACATACCTTTACAATAAAGCATCTATATGAATAATTATAAGAGCCGTCATGTTTTCTAATGAAAAATAAAGCAATAAAATGTTCTGAAGTGCATAATATACCTTGACAGAAAGTGCAGCTAAGAAACAATGGCTAGAATAATAATTCAAAGTCAGTGACCAGAAAGCATGACAATTAGACTTCAGAAATTCATAGAACAGAAAGGTTCCTAGTCACCTTGTGATTCTGCAGCAAAAGTAATATACCCACTATGCATACAAACACATACACAGCATCTGAGTCTGCTGGATCATACTCTGAAATCTCAGCTAAATTTGGAGAGAGACGAAGAAAGAGAATGAGAGTTGCAAAATTTATAGTCAGAAAATAAGGGACTGTAGATGGTCCAAAATAGAGCTTTTGATGAAAAGGTGCATTTAATAGTTTCTGGTGGCACAAAATGAGGAGCATATTGATCATCCACTAGCAAAGAGCCAGAGATGGTCATCAATAAAATGATAGCTTCAAGTTTGACTTTTCCTCTTTACGCCGGTAGAGTTTATAACTTCATTTATAAACAATTATTAATTAATTTGCCAACTTCAGGGAATCAGCAATGACGTTTTCTATTGAAAAATTCTACCTTTGAGTATAACCATTTGAGACCTATAACAAGGATGGAAGACCTAAATCAGGTGTCCTCCTTCATTGTAGTGACTTGTCTCTGTACACATAAATCCATTGATATCTCAAATTAAAAACAATGTGCTAAGTTGAATTTAGATTTGGCCATATGTCCAATTGTCTATAATTTCAATTGGTACATAATTCAATTTATAGAATTTATAATCAACGACCATAAAAATCAAATTTCCCGACAAAGATCAGAGTTATCACTGTTGTTTTCCGAAATTATGACCCATATTTATACTATATTAATATTATCTAAGTTTTTAGACTTTTAGATTTGATACTAGTCTTGAATTCAAATATCCTCATAACATCCAAAAGATCTCATAACATCCAAAAGATCTTGTCACAGAACTTTTCAAAGCATGAATAATTTGAAGCTTAAAAAATATAGGCAATATCAATAATGGTTGGGTTATAAAGAGTGAGGGAGTTAATTCCTTTGCAGCTTTTGTGAATGAAAAAAATATGTTGAGAAAATTACTTCAAACAGGCTCAATATTGCTTAAATTTAACCCAATAACATTAGTTCTTTGATAAACGTACGAAAGAAATATAGGCAGTTATAAAATATTGGTGTAATCCTTAGGAGAAATTTAAATTTTCACATATTGATGGTTACTTTTTATAAATTTTGAGTAATATTTTTTTATTTTGCATTTTTCACTTGACTAAACTTTAATTTAATTATTATTTAGAAAGCAAAAAAGATTGTAGGTAAGTTTAATTGATTTCGTCATTTTGACTTACAAGTAACATAAAAGTATGTGTTTACCGGGGAAAGAAAAAAAACCAAAGATAAGTATGTCTATGTATCATTATATCATATTGGCTTTGGTAAAAAGCTTTTTTTTTTTTAAAAGGTAAAATCATAGTGTTGCTGAGGTCTGAATAATGATTTTATTGGAAATGAAAACTTTGGACTGCTTATTTTATTGAGCCACAAAAAAGGATGAGTCAAAGCAGTACAAAAGGGTTTTTTGAATCCCTATTTTCAGGCTTCTTTCCAGGAATCAGTGTCCCTAAAGCCATGCCCTTAATTATTAATTTATGCTTTTTATATAATTGGGAAAGCCTCATTTTTATATATCTAAATTGGGTGGATGATATAACCCACAAATAATATTATACATTATACATGCCAGCCAGAACCAGCCCAGAAATAGCATAGACAAAATTTAACATATCTCACAAACCCAATATAAATTTAGTAAGAAGGGGATTTTTCTAAGAAGTGAATAGAGTCCATCCCAATTATTAGGAAACCAATTTTGGCTTATAGAAGTTATTTTTTTATTAGAGTGAAATTGACAGTATGAAGTCATTATATTCTTTAAGTTGAACAATTTGGCGCCATTTTATGTTGCAAATTAAAACAGAAATCCAAAACCAAGGTTACCAAGTTCTTAATTCATAGGTTTCATGATGAGACAGATTAAGAGTTGCTTAAAATTATCTTATTGTTATTTGTTAAAAATGTTAAATTAATTTTAGCGCCCATTATAATGTCATTTTGCATTCTGACCCCATAATTTTGGTTATAGATTTGTCCCTGGTTTCATAGTCAGATTTTAAATAATTCACATAATTTAGTTTAAATAATTCAAATAATTTAATTTACTTCCTCGTCTTCCATGACAAACAAAACGGTAAAATTTTACACTTACTTCAATAATTATATATGAATAATGGAAGATTTGTGATGCATATTCTTTTGTTATAGTCACTAACGTTATCATATTAGATTAATGCACCTTAATTAATTTTCCATTTTTCCATAAAAATAATAGTGTTCTTATGAAAAATTTCATAGTTTTAGCCATTATTTATGAGCAAATAATATTGTGATTATAGTTAGTCTTTTGCAGTGTAATAAAATAAGTTTTGAATTTTATAAGAGATGTGTTTATATTTAATATTCAATCATATTTCAAACAAGATTTTTTCTAATAAAAAGACACACGTGCACAACAAGAAAAAATTAATCGATACTTTTATAAATGATCACTAGCTAGATTATTAGCTTGTATATTGCAAGAGTCTTAAAACAAATCACAATAATGTGATTTGCTGTATGTTTTATATTATATAAAAAATTTGTTAAACTATATTGTCTAATCATGATAGTGCATACAATAATTACAGTTTGATTACGGTAAAGACAAACCTATTGTTATAATAATAAGAGGCAGATAATTTGATCGTTAATTTTATATATGTTTGATTTAATTAAAATTAGATATTGTTGGATTATTCATTTGAAAAAAGTTGAAAAAAATTATTTTTAATTAGATCTGATAATATTTGAATATGACAGATAATTATGTAAAAAAAAAATTTGAAGAGAGAAATTTAAAAAAAAAAAAGTATGGGAGTTTAACTTGAAATTATTGATCGAGCTACTGCATAGCTTTATTCTATATCTCCTATATTAAAAAAAAACTTATATTTTATATCTGCCACACTTACAAATCATTGACCCTTCAAAACTCGGATATTGACAACACAGATTGAATTTCAAATTATATCGATTCTATAATTTGAGCCTGGCTAAATATCACTGATAATTATTAACCCTTCTAGAAACAATTTTTTTTAAAAAAATAGAATGTTGGATGTAATGTGAAATGGTTCTTCTCTTCACTTATGAAATAAAGTGGGATATCGAAATCTAATATTAAATATTAATGTAAGGATTATCTTATTTATTTAAAAAAAAACAGGTGATGAGGAATAACACGTTTTCTTGTTTGTAAAAGGTACCATATTAATTTTAGGTAACAAGCATCTTATCTTTGTATATTAATTAATTGAAAGTTATACAATACAGAATATGTATATATATATATATATATATGAGCACGCGCATGTGTGTGGGTGTGATGTTATAGAGCTGTCTTGAATAATCAGCTTAGAGCTGTCATTCTTCAGCCTTAAATTTTATAGTGAGCTAATTTGAAAAGTTGGCGATTTAATTAAATAAAGTAATTTATAATCGTATCTTTGTTTGATGTAAAAGCAACACAAGAAGACTATCCAGTAAGATCTTTTTTTTTTTTTGGGCACCAGTTATCTTGTAAGAATATAGGATATTGGTAACTAATTTATAATTTAAAAAAAGTTAGTTGAAAGCTGAAACCTTATTTTTTTTAAAAAAATTATTCCCTCCGTTGAAAAAATATAAAATATTTTTAACAAAATCCCACTTTCGATAAAATAGTTACCTATTTTTAAACTAACCCTATCTTTTTATATTTATTCCTATTAAACACCCTACAATAAATATAAAGTCATTCATCAATAAGGTCATTTTTTTTTAAAAAAAGACAATGATTATACATTGAAAGACTAAAAGTGTTTTATATTTTTTAACATCTAATTTTTCAAAAAATGCTTTACATTTTTTAACAGAGAGAGTACATTTTTTCAATTTTATCCTCGTTAAATGTCCTATTTAAGTGATTTGATAATAATAATTAAAATTTCAACACATAATTTTTAAAAAAGAGTAATAAATGAAGTAAATGTATATTAAAAAAATAATTATAAAATTATTTAATGTCTTATATTTTAGACTAAGTAAAACTTATAAAAGGTATCTTATATTGTGTTGGAAGAGAGTATTAATTAATAAACTCAAGCGGGACATGTCCAAAGGCACCAAAAACTTAAAGAAATTAAATCCTCTTTTGCCAAATGTTTATATATATATATATATATATGATGTTTCTTTAGCCGAGTGGGATGTATGTTATATTTTATGAGTAAAGATTTGTCAAAGCATGTGTTTTGAGGATAGGAGATATGTCCATGATATTATTATACAGGGAGTATGAAAATTAGATTCAAAGAAAATTAATTAATTGAAGTTAAGTTTCAATCAATTTTAAAGTATTAACAAAGCTTCTTGATTCTTCAATGGCAAAATATCAAGGCTAACAATTTTAAAAATTTACAAGTTTAGCTCTTAATTTTAAAATTTTATTATAATGAATTTACAATTTATTTTTCATTAACAAGGTTGGATAATAATAAAAATTTAATAAGCCTTTTAATCTTTGACTTTAAAGTTGAACATTAATGTTGTAAATGTATGACAACAAAGTTGTAAAATTAGGAGTCGAATTTGCAAATCCACGGAGTTGTTAGATTTAATATTTTTCAAAATTAAAAATGAGCATAATTGTATTTCTTGTTATAATTTAAAAAATAAGTTGCAAATGTATCATAATAAAATTACAAATTTAAGAGCCGAACTTATAAATTTCTAAAGCTGTTAAACTTAATATTTTATTATTAAAGGACTAAGAAACTTTGTTAGCATACTTTAAAATTGATTGAGACTTAATTTAAATTAATTATTTTCTTGAGATTTAATTGTCATTCTCCCTATTATAATTGATTATTGATAGCATGCTACAAGCAATCTAGAAGCTTAGTGGTTGGCCTTTTATTAGGATTAATGATATTACATGATCTCCTGACTAGGATTGGATAAGCTCTTTAGACATATAAGACATTTCTCTAACTCAGTAGCGCGGATGAAATTAAACACATCGTCCATTTGTGAGCCCTATAGGTTTTGGTTTGATTATATCTCATAACTAGAGAGCATGAAGTAGTTATGTTACATATAGATGAATCTTGTTATGCTTAATACCCCTTGGAATTATTTAGGAATTAATCAGTATTT